TTCAGTTAGTTCAGTTCTAGTTCAGTTCTAGTTCAGTTCTAGTTCAGTTCTAGTTCAGTACTTCAGTTCTAGTTCAGTTCTAGTTCAGTTCTAGTTCAGTTCTAGTTAGTTCAGTTCTAGTTCAGTTCTAGTTCAGTTCTAGTTCAGTTCTAGTTCAGTTCTAGTTCAGTTCTAGTTCAGTTCTAGTTCAGTTCTAGTTCAGTTCTAGTTCAGTTCTAGTTCAGTTCTAGTTCAGTTCTAGTTCAGTTCTAGTTCAGTTCTAGTTCAGTTCTAGTTCAGTTCTAGTTCAGTTCTAGTTCAGTTCTAGTTCAGTTCTAGTTCAGTTCTAGTTCAGTTCTAGTTCAGTTCTAGTTCAGTTCTAGTTCAGTTCTAGTTTAGTTCTAGTTCAGTCTAGTTCAGTTCTAGTTCAGTTCTAGTTCAGTTCTAGTTCTAGTTCAGTTCTAGTTCAGTTCTAGTTCAGTTCTAGTTCAGTTCTTGTTTAGTTTTCAAAAACATATTTTTCAAAATTGTCCAAGTTTAGATAGAAATGTTTCCTTAAAGAAGTCAGTTTTTATTTACCAAGTTTTACATAATGTTTTCTTAACGAATCATATATAATTACTGTTTATTGGTCATAAATTGATTTTCTGTCCGATCCTAACGAAATTTGGTAAAGAGAATACAGTTCTTATTTTTATGCTATTGTACATTATATAATTTATTAGTGAGTTAATAAATATTCCCAATTTTCTACAATTACTTTTCAAGTTCGATTAGTATTTATTGAATACAATTAATAGCTCGGATACTTTGGTGTTGGTACAATTTTGCCATTAAAATAGTCTACTTCTGGTTTGGGTCTATGATGTTCAATAATAATATTAATAATAGATTCCGGTTTTTGTGGTTTCTCATTGTGTTTTTCTGGAGTTACATCAGTGACAGGCATCAAGACTGGTGGTTTAACTGGTTCCTTTACCGGCTTGGTAGCAACCGGTTTAGCGGGTTCCTTTGCAGGTTTTGGTGCAGCTGGACTTGCATGTTCTTAGCAGGCTTTGAAATATTTTGTTTAACCAATTCCTTAAAAGGGTTTAATACATTGGGTTTCTCGTGTTTTTTTACCGGCAGAGAAGGATGATTTACAATATCAGTTATGGGTTGAGAATAGGCCAAAGTTGCTAACGCAATTACAAAGAATACAATTGCGAACTTCATTGTCGTTATATGCAACTAATTCAAATCGTTATTAGAAATGAATGAATTAATATACTTCAGCTTGATGTTTAAATAGTTTAATATTTTTCGCAAATAATAATTAATTTTCAATTACTTGTTTCGTTTTGTGTTTTTTTTTTTTTTTTGTACGTAATTTTGAATTGATGTTATTCTTTCGGAGTTATTGGAAAATGTTAACCGATAATATAAAATGTTCATGCTGCTATAATATTAAGTTACAGATTCAAATTTATGAATGTTTATATTCAAAAAAAAAAAATACAATTTAATATTTTATTTATGAGTTCAGTTCTAGTTCAGTTCTAGTTCAGTTCTAGTTTAGTTCTAGTTCAGTTCTAGTTCAGTTCTAGTTCAGTTCTAGTTCAGTTCTAGTTCAGTTCTAGTTCAGTTCTAGTTCAGTTCTAGTTCAGTTCTAGTTCAGTTCTAGTTCAGTTCTAGTTCAGTTCTAGTTCAGTTCTAGTTCAGTTCTAGTTCAGTTCTAGTTCATTCTAGTTCAGTTCTAGTTCAGTTCTAGTTCAGTTCTAGTTCAGTTCTAGTTCAGTTCTAGTTCAGTTCTAGTTCAGTTCTAGTTCAGTTCTAGTTCAGTTCTAGTTCAGTTCTAGTTCAGTTCTAGTTCAGTTCTAGTTCAGTTCTAGTTCAGTTTAGTTCAGTTCTAGTTCAGTTCTAGTTCAGTTCTAGTTCAGTTCTAGTTCAGTTCTAGTTCAGTTCTAGTTCAGTTTCTAGTTCAGTTCTAGTTCAGTTCTAGTTCAGTTCTAGTTCAGTTCTAGTTCAGTTCTAGTTCAGTTCTAGTTCAGTTCTAGTTCTTTCTAGTTCTAGTTCAGTTCTAGTTCAGTTCTAGTTCAGTTCTAGTTCAGTTCTAGTTCGTTCTAGTTCAGTTCTAGTTCAGTTCTAGTTCAGTTCTAGTTCAGTTCTAGTTCAGTTCTAGTTCAGTTCTAGTTCAGTTCTAGTTCAGTTCTAGTTCAGTTCTAGTTCATTTAGTTCAGTTCTAGTTCAGTTCTAGTTCAGTTCTAGTTCAGTTCTAGTTCAGTTCGTTCAGTTCAGTTCTAGTTCAGTTCTAGTTCAGTTCTAGTTCAGTTCTAGTTCAGTTTCTAGTTCAGTTCTAGTTCAGTTCTAGTTCAGTTCTAGTTCAGTTCTAGTTCAGTTCTAGTTCAGTTCTAGTTCAGTTCTAGTTCAGTTCAGTTTTCCGTTCATTTCTAGTTCAGTTCTAGTTCAGTTCTAGTTCAGTTCTAGTTCAGTTCTAGTTCATTCTAGTTCAGTTTCTAGTTCAGTTCTAGTTCAGTTCTAGTTCAGTTCTAGTTCAGTTTTCTAGTTCAGTTCTAGTTCAGTTCTAGTTCAGTCTAGTTCAGTTCTATCAGTTCTAGTTCAGTTCAGTTCTAGTTCAGTTCAGTTCAGATCTAGTTCTAGTTCTAGTTCAAGTTCAAGTTCAGTTCTAGTTCAGTTCTAGTTCAGTTCTAGTTCAGTTCTAGTTCAGTTCTAGTTCAGTTCTCTTAGTTTCTAGTTCAGTTCTAGTTCAGTTCTAGTTCAGTCTAGTTCAGTTCTAGTTCAGTTCTAGTTCAGTTCTAGTTCAGTTCTAGTTCAGTTCTAGTTCAGTTCTAGTTCAGTTCTAGTTCAGTTCTAGTTCAGTTCTAGTTCAGTTCTAGTTCAGTTCTAGTTCAGTTCTAGTTCAGTTCTAGTTCAGTTCTAGTTCTGTTCTAGTTCAGTTCTAGTTCAGTTCTAGTTCAGTTCTAGTTCAGTTCTAGTTAGTTCTAGTTCAGTTCTAGTTCAGTTCTAGTTCAGTTCTAGTTCAGTTTCTAGTTCTAGTTCAGTTTCTAGTTCAGTTCTAGTTCAGTTCTAGTTCAGTTCTAGTTCAGTTCTAGTTCAGTCTAGTTCATTCTAGTTCAGTTTTAGTTCAGTTCTAGTTCAGTTCTAGTTCAGTTCTAGTTCAGTTCTAGTTCAGTTCTAGTCCAGTTCTAGTTCAGTTCTAGTTCAGTTCTAGTTCAGTTCTAGTTCATTTTCTAGTTCAGTTCTAGTTCAGTTCTAGTTCATTCTAGTTCAGTTCTAGTTCAGTTCTAGTTCAGTTTAGTTCAGTTCTAGTTCAGTTCTAGTTCAGTTCTAGTTCAGTTCTAGTTCAGTTCTAGTTCAGTTCTAGTTCAGTTCTAGTTCAGTTCTAGTTCAGTTCTAGTTCAGTTCTAGTTCAGTTCTAGTTCAGTTCTAGTTCAGTCTAGTTCAGTTCTAGTTCAGTTCTATTTCAGTTCTAGTTCAGTTCTAGTTCAGTTCTAGTTCAGTTCTAGTTCAGTTCTAGTTCAGTTCTAGTTCAGTTCTAGTTCAGTTCTAGTTCAGTTCTAGTTCAGTTCTAGTTCAGTTCTAGTTCAGTTCTAGTTCAGTTCTAGTTCAGTTCTAGTTCAGTTCTAGTTCAGTTCTAGTTCAGTTCTAGTTCAGTTCTAGTTCAGTTCTAGTTCAGTTCTAGTTCAGTTCTAGTTCAGTTCTAGTTCAGTTCTAGTTCAGTTCTAGTTCAGTTCTAGTTCAGTTCTAGTTCAGTTCTAGTTCAGTTCTATTCAGTTCTAGTTCAGTCTAGTTCAGTTCTAGTTCAGTTCTAGTTCAGTTCTAGTTCAGTTCTAGTTCAGTTCTAGTTCAGTTCTAGTTCAGTTCTAGTTCAGTTCTAGTTCAGTTTCTAGTTCAGTTCTAGTTCAGTTCTAGTTCAGTTCTAGTTCAGTTCTAGTTCAGTTCTAGTTCAGTTCTAGTTCAGTTCTAGTTCAGTTCTAGTTCAGTTTCTAGTTCAGTTCTAGTTCAGTTCTAGTTCAGTTCTAGTTCAGTTCTAGTTCAGTTCTAGTTCAGTTCTAGTTCAGTTCTAGTTCAGTTCTAGTTCAGTTCTAGTTCAGTTCTAGTTCAGTTCTAGTTCAGTTCAAGTTCAGTTCTAATTCAGTTCTAGTTCAGTTCTAGTTCAGTTCTAGTTCAGTTAGTTCAGTTTAGTTCAGTTCTAGTTCAGTTCTAGTTCAGTTCTAGTTCAGTTCTAGTTCAGATCTAGTTCAGTTCTAGTTCAGTTCTTGTTCAGTTTTAGTTCATTTTAGTTCAGTTCTAGTTCAGTTCTGGTTCAGTTCTAGTTCACTTCTAGTTCAGTTCTAATTCAGTTCTAGTTCAGTTCTAGTTCAGTTCTAATTCAGTTCTAGTTCAGTTCTAGTTCAGTTCTAGTTCAGTTCTAGTTCAGTTCTAGTTCAGTTCTAGTTCAGTTCTAGTTCTAGTTCAGTTCTAGTTCAGTTCAGTTCAGTTCTAGTTCAGTTCTAGTTCAGTTCTAGTTCAGTTCTAGTTCAGTTCTAGTTCGATCCTTTAAATTCATCTATTATCTATTTCTATTTCTCTGTAAATCGTTTCTCGAGTTTTATCATAATATGTTAAATAATTCTCTTCTACATTTAAATATTTCAAATCTGTTATTTTGTTGCTTGTCTCCGCTAGCTACTATTGTGAATTGCTAAACAGAGTTACATTAAAAAGTAACATGTATATACTAAGATATGCAATTGTGTAGACTAATTGGAAACACTAAGACCAGTGTTGGTAACTTCTATAAACACTGCTATAAAAATCGCTTAAAATATTTATAAATTTAATTAATTTAAAAGAAATAATGAAATAACTGGAACGTAAAATTAAAGATTTTAGTTTTTTAATAAATAAATAACCTTTGCATATTATTTAAAATTGTCGTAAGCTATTTATACATATTTTTTTGTAAAACCCGCTAATAATGACAGCCGGCAGTGTTTTGCTAGCTGTTATTATTAACATTATTAACAACACTGTCAAAGACATATGTTTTGCGATTTCAGTTTTTTACTATTTTCACAAAGCAAACAACAATAATAAGTAGAAAGAAAAATGTTAACAACGCTATTAAAATCAAGTAATTAAAACTTAAAATAATAGAAACACATAAATAATAACAAATTTTTATACCAAACAAAGCGTTACACATAAAACAACAAAAAAAGGTAAATACAAAAGAAAATAGTGAAAGTGTTTTAAAGGGAAATAAAAAATATTTAATAATAACGCAAAAAGTTTGATTGTGTCAACGAAAAAAAGACAACGTAAATGATTTGCAAATTTGCTACCAAATAAAATGTAATAAATCTTACAACTAAATTTAAATGCGTGGCGTTTTTTGCAACTTTAGAAATTTATTTCATTTTAGTTAATAAAAATTCTTTGGTTTTATTCGTAACATAATATGGTAATTTGTGGTTTAAGGTAAAAAATAAGAAGAATTAAAAATAAAACAAGAAAAAAAGATCGTAACTGCAATTGTTACTCTAAAAAATGTTCAAATCAAAGACTACAATTCAATCAATTGATTTTCCACTTCCTTATTTCTATTTATTTATTTCTTCTCCTACTATGATGGTACTTTTATGGTTTGTAATAAAATATTGTTAATGTCTGTCTGAAGGGGGGATAGAAGGGAGTATTGTTATTTGTTTTTGCAATCATTACCCTCTTGTTTTCTACTTGCTGCTGTTTTACAATCATTGACTTCTCTTACAAAAACTAAACTATTTTTGTAATAACTCTCTGTCTGCGGCACCCTCTTCCTCCCCTTCCCAATTGCAATTAAAAAAGTGTACTTTTTATGCAGTATTTTTATTTTTAATCTTTAAGTTTCATATTTCACATCCAAGTGTTTTTTTCAATATTATTACCTTGGTCAAATACTTGTAGCCAACAAATATTCACAAAAAAAAAACTCGTCTCTATGTCTAGTTGATGATTCATATATTTCAACTCATTCTCTAATAGGTATTAAGTAAACATTGTTTCTTTTTGTTTGGTTAAAGAAACAAACAATAACATTTTGGATACGTTGCACTTTTTTTCAAATTTCATAAATTCGAATTTCAAATTTGTTGAGCCCTTATTTATAAATTAAATAGCTAAATGTTGTTCATGTGTCACTTCTTTATTTATTAATTTACTGCCCTTTAAAATCAAGGAAATCACTTCTTTTATCTTTTCATTAAATTTTGTTAATTTTTGTTTTTTTATAGAGGGAGATTAACAAACATCATTCTACATACAGACGCCATTATAATGGTTTAGTTGTAGGGTTTCCCAGTAAGAAAAGTAAGTCAAAGTTTAAAAATTCAATAAGGATAGAAAAATAGATAGATAGATGATAGATAGATAGTAGATAGATAGATAGATAGATGATGATAGATAGATAGATCGATAGATAGATGATAGATAGCTCGCTCGCTCGCTCGCTCGCTCGCTCGCTCGCTCGCTCGCCCGCTCGCTCCCCTCGCTCGCTCGCTCGCTCGCTCGCTCGCTAGCTCGCTCCTCGCTCGCTCGCTCGCTCGCTCGCCTCGCTCGCTCGCTCGCTCGCTCCTCGCTCGCTCGCTCGCTCGCTCGCTCGCTCGCTCGCCCGCTCGCTCCTCGCTCGCTCCGCTCGCTCGCTCGCATCGCTCGCTCGCTAGCTCGCTCCTCGCTCGCTCGCTCGCTCGCTCGCTTCGCTCGCTCGCTCGCTCGCTCGCTCGCTCGCTCGCTCGCTCGCCTCCTCGCTCGCTCGCTCGCTCGCTCGCTCGCTCGCTCTCGCTCGCTCGCTCGCTCGCTCGCTCGCTCTCGCTCTCGCTCGCTCGCTCGCTCTCGCTCGCTCGCTCCTAGCTCGCTCGCTCGCTCGCTCGCTCGCTCGCTCGCTCGCTCGCTCGCTCGCTTCGCTCGCTCGCTCGCTCGCTCGCCGCTCGCTCGCTCGCTCGCTCGCTCGCTCGCTCGCTCGCTCGCTCGCTCGCTCGCTAGCTCGCTCGCTTCTCGCTCGCTCGCTCGCTCGCTCGCTCGCTCGCTCGCTCCGCTCGCTCGCTCGCTCGCTCCTCGCTCGCTAGCTCGCTCGCTCGCTCGCCTGCGCCTCGCTACGCTCGCTAGCTAGATAGATAGATTAGAATAGGTAGGTAGGGTAGGTAGGTAGGTAACAGGGTGTATTACTTTATTTGCTATATTTTCCTATCGAAATTAGTTTTTGCTTATTATGCCCTTAGAAATATTTAAACCTATCTCACGCGTTATTACCATATCGTACCTCATTTTGAAAAAAATAATATCTAAAGATATACCGCCAAACTGTGTTATTTGAAATTTATATTCATAAACACCAAGTTCAATCCATCAATCAAAATTAAGTCGTTCCATTTTTATAAATACAACCTCAACTTACTTGTCATGTTAGAATTTCCTTCAAAATACTTAAATAAATTTTAATATCTTTAAAGTTAAAATTTTACCAAGGAAGCTGTTTTGATTTGTGTTTCTTAATAGAAGAAAAAAGATTTTTCTTTTATTATACAAGTTTATAATAATTGGCAGCTCTTAATCATTAATGTTACAATTACAGTAGTTCCCTTGATAACACAAACAATGTTCTTTTTTACTGAAAATGTTATCAGTCTCAACGCAAATATCTAATTAAAGATAAAATTAAATAAATAAATATATTTAATTTATCATTATCATTTTTGAAATCTATTTAAATATTAACTTTTTACACACCATTTTCCGCTGATAAAAAGAAATTATTTTTTTTTTAATATCAAAATAAAAGAAAGAAAAACAAAAAAAGAAAAGTATCTGCAAAGAAAATTAAAACAAGGTGTATATTAGGTCTAAATTAAAGTAATATTCCAACCTTTCACAATTTTAAAAACCTATTATTTATGTATATTATCTACTAAAAATTTCCATTCTACAAGTTTATATGTCCTATAACTTTAGAATAAATATACTACACATTTAAATGATTTATAATTTAATTGTAATGTTTAGTCATCTGACCCAATTTGATAAAATAAATGTGAGTATTAAATGAAATTGTATGGAATTCTTTTGATTTATTACAAAACATGCAAAATTATTAGAAAAATAATTATTATAAAGAGTGCAATTGAACTGACAATATTATTTTATTAAGGCAATAGTTTTATTTTAATTTCAAACTACGAGTTAACTGAATAAAACACTTTACTTTATAAACATGTTCCATTTATCTATTTATTTATTTATTTATTTATTTATCTATCTATCTATCTATCTATCTATCTATCTATCTATCTATCTATCTATCTATCTATCTATCTATCTATCTATCTATCTATCTATCTATCTATCTATCTATCTATCTATCTATCTATCTATCATTCTATCTATCTATCTATCTATCTATCTATCTATCTATCTATCTATCTATCTATCTATCTATCTATCTATCTATCTATCTATCTATCTTCTATCTATCTATCTATCTATCTATCTATCTATCTATCTATATATCTATCTATCTATCTATCTATCTATCTATCTATCTATCTATCTATCTATCTATCTATCTATCTATCTATCTATCTATCTATCTATCTATCTACCTATCTATCTATCTATCTATCTATCTATCTATCTATCTATCTATCTATCTATCTATCTATCTATCTATCTATCTATCTATCTATCTATCTATCTATCTATCTATCTATCATCTATCTATCTATCTATCTATCTATCTATCTATCTATCTATCTATCTATCTATCTATCTACCTATCCATCTATCTATCTATCTATCTATCTATCTATCTATCTATCTATCTATCTATCTATCTATCTATCTATCTATCTATCTATCTATCTACCTATCCATCTATCTATCTATCTATCTATCTATCTATCTATCTATCTATCTATCTATCTATCTATCTATCTATCTATCTATCTATCTATCTATCTATCTATCTATCTATCTATCTATCTATCTATCTATCTATCTATCTATCTATCTATCTATCTATCTATCTATCTATCTATCTATCATTCTATCTATCTATCTATCTATCTATCTATCTATCTATCTATCTATCTATCTATCTATCTATCTATCTATCTATCTATCTATCTATCTATCTATCTATCTATCTATCTATCTATCTATCTATCTATCTATCTATCTATCTATCTATCTATCTATCTATCTATCTATCTATCTATCTATCTATCTATCTATCTATCTATCTATCTATCTATCTATCTATCTATCTATCTATCTATCTATCTATCTATCTATCTATCTATATATCTATCTATCTATCTATCTATCTATCTATCTATCTATCTATCTATCTATCTATCTATCTATCTATCTATCTATCTATCTATCTATCTATCTATCTATCTATCCATCTATCCATCTATCCATCTATCTATCTATCTATCTATCTATCTATCTATCTATCTATCTATCTATCTATCTATCTATCTATTTATCTATCTATCTATCTATCTATCTATCTATCTATCTATGACATATTTTAGTCTTTTCCATTATACCATTTCTATAACAACAACCTTTTTCTTTTCTCTCCCTAGACATCTTACTTTAACTTTTAAACTTGCGTTTTAACGCAAAATCAACACAAAGTGAAAATATCACAACGAAAATGGAGAGTCTATTTAATTTACGGGCCTGGGACGATGACGCAAAATATGGCTGTAATGCAATTAACAAAACATCATTAATCACAAATGCCTACAATGGCATACCTGAAACATTAATTCTCAACGTTTTAGCATGGACTCTGCTAATCGTACTCTTCACTGTGTTAAGACATCAGGCAGGCGACTATGGTCGTTTGGCCTTAGTTAATGCGAATGGCAGTAGGAAACGTTGGACTGAAGTATTCTATTCACGAGGAACATCTATGATAGAACAACCTCACTCCTCGAATAGTTCACATCAACGTCAGAGCAGCATTACGAATTCTGCGGGAACAACAAGTCCTAATGGTTTAGATGAACCCAGAGGTAGCATTACGTCCAATACAACCGATTCAACACCACTGTCGCCCATACAATACGATCAGGGTATATTTTCATGGATCATTATAACATTTAAATTACGTAAAGAACAAATACTTTTGCACACTGGACCCGATGCTGTCTACTATTTGTCGTTTCAAAAACATCTAATGTTGGTAATGGCCATAGTAACAGCTGTTTCTTTGGTGGTTATCTTGCCAGTGAATTTTCTCAATGGTTCTGATGAGTATGATGTTAATGCATTCGGTCGCACTACAATGGCTAATTTATCACCTGATTCCGCCTGGCTTTGGGTTCATGTTATTGTTACCATTATATATGTGCCTTTAATTGTACTGATTATGCGTCGTTCCTCGGGTCGTAATGCATTTAAAAAGGCTGCCACTCGCACGATTATGATAACAAATATCTCGCATAATGATCGCAATAAGACAGTGATTAGAAACTATATACAAGAACTATTTCCTGATGTTAATATAGAAGATGTTCAGGTAGCCTATAATATATCGAAATTAAATGTGCGAACGGCGGAATATGAACGGGTTTTAGATGCAAAAATCTATTGTGAACATCATCGAGATAAGGATACTTTGACTGTGAGTTAAATAATGTTTTTATCACTCTCACTTTTAAAAAAATATTTGAAAAATCTGAAAATTTAAAAGAGTTAGCTTCATATTACTAAATCATCAAAAATGTTCTTAATAAAATTTTGAACTTTTATCAAAAAATTTTTTTCTAAAACAAGCTTTCTTAAGTTTTTGCAAAAAAAAAATATTTTTTAATTTTTTTTTTTTTACAAAAATAAATTCCTTTTAAATTCCAGGTTCGCCCCGAATTTTGCAAGTGTAAAACCGAGAATGCCTATGATTATTATCAACGTGAAGAACGTAATCTACATGGAGATGTGGCACGTCTTCGAGCTGCAGCTCTTAATGAACCTTTAGGCATAGCTTTTCTTACTGTATCCACGGTACAGGAAGCACAAAACATAGTGGCACATTTTACACCCGGTACCTATCGTCAATGGAGTCTCACATTTGCACCCTCACCAGATGATCTATTTTGGGAAAATTTAAGTGTCAGCCGTACCCATTGGCTGCTGAAATGGGCCATTGTTAATATTTTACTCTTCGTAATATTATTCTTTTTAACCACGCCCGCCATGGTTGTCAACTTATTAGACAGTATACACCTGGCAAAAGATAAAATCACAAAACTTTCACCCTTGGTATCGGAATTCTTGCCCACATTGATGTTGTGGACGCTGTCTGTGTTGATGCCGGTTATTGTGGCCTTTTCCGATAAATGGATGAGTCATTATACGAAATCGAAACAAAATTACTCGATAATGACTAAATGTTTTGTTTATTTATTATTAATGATTTTAATATTACCCTCTTTGGGTTTAACATCCGCCCAGGCTTTGCTCGAGTGGTCGGTTAGTAATGATACGTTGAGGTGGCAGTGTATTTTTGTGCCTGATCGTGGTTCATTTTATGTCAATTATATTATAACGGCTGGTTTTATTGGTACCTCTTTGGAATTGTTACGTTTTCCGGAATTGATAGTTTATATCTGGATGTTGATAACGGCTAAGTCGAAGGCTGAGACTCCCTACATACGCAAATCAATTTTACTGGAATTTCCCTTTGGCACCCACTATGCCTGGACAACTTTGGTGTTTACTATTTCAATTGTTTACAGTGTTTTCTGTCCTCTCATAATGCCCTTCGCCATGGTTTATATAAGCTTTAAGCACTTTGTGGATCGTCATAATTTATATTTTGCCTATGGACCTTCTAATATGATCTCCCGCAATGGCGGTAAAATCCATTCAACTGCCGTTACTATGACGAAATTTTCCATTATAATACTTTTACTTATAATGGCCATGATATCGGCTATACGTGGTTCCGGCATGGCAAGAGCTATAATATTGATTATTACTCTAGTTATAACACTAACGCTCTTTACATTTATGTCACCCATTAAACGTTGCACCCAGGCCAGACGTCCCAGTATAGTGGAAATTGCCGGCCCAGCACCGATCTATATACCAGACGTACTAAAGCCAAGATCTGCACACAATGCCACACCGTTGGGACCACATTCATATAATGGTGCCGGTACTACGGCATCGGCTGGTAATGGAAATGGTGCTGGTTATGGTTCGGATTCTGTGTCCGATTTCGATATTAGTTCTCAATGTAGTGTAAATAGTGTAGAGGCCTAAAGACAACTAAATCTTAGTAAAAGCAGCAGTAAAAAAAAGAACAAACAAATACTTATTTAAGACAGTATCCAGAAAATATTTACAATAAAAGGGCTTAAAGCAGGCATGGATAATTGAAATTTTGAAATAGTACTAATAAAAAATTACTAATTTTCTCTAGACTATAGACTAGACTGTAAACTGAACTACTTATCAAAAGTTTATAAGTTAGAAAAAGTACCGCAAATGTTGTGGAGTTACCGCGGATATCAAAAAGTACTAAATTATGGCATTTTCCATGCCTGACTTAAAGTTTTCAACAAGTATTTAGTTTTTTTTTCTACGTCACACTTTTGGTTACCACAAACAAAACTCCCGTTCGACTAATTAAAATTTCTCAAATATATACCCACACTTTTCCCTTATTTTAGTTCTTTTTTATTAAAATATTGTTATAATTTTATACTATTTTTTATTGTTATATTGAAAATAACAAAACAAAACCCTCTCTTTCCCTTCTCTCTTTTCTGTTAATAATACTTAATAACTTTAATATTGTATATAAAACTATCTTTATTATTAAATTTAAGCTTTTCTTCTCTATATACAAACAAATATTTTTTTATTATTAATAATTATTCTTTATATTGCGATACCACTATATTAATATAAACTCTTATTATTTAAAAAAAAAAATAAGTATTAAGTAAAAAAATTGTATATACTGAGCATTATTTTTTCAAAAATTTAATAAAATCTATTGCTTATGAAAATAATTTTCATTTTTTCCCAAAAGGATTGATTTTTCTTTTATTTTTGGTTTAATTTAATTAAACTTTGCTCATAAAAGAAATTTGCAAAATGATTTTCTAAAAAGAAAGGCTTTACAGCATTATGTTGATAAGCCACAAATACTAAAACAATAAAAAACAATTAAAACTTTAAAATTTTGAAAATTTTACTCCAAACAGCAGCGACAGAGAGAATTTATCGATAATTTTCTTTAGAAAGAGAATTTTAAAGAACATTTTCTTTAGAAAGAGAATTTTAATGAAAATTTTCTATAGAAAGAGATGTTTAATGAAAATTTTCTATAAAAAGAGAATTTTATCGAAAAGTTTCTATAAAAAATCGAAAAGTTTCTATAAAAATCGAAAATTATCTTTAAAAATCGAAAAATTTCTATAAAAATTGAAAATTTATTTAAAATTTTCTATGACAATCGAAAATTTATCAAAAATTTTTTATAAAAAGAGAATTTTATCAAAAATTTTTTATAAAAAGAGAATTTTATCTAGAATTTTCTATAAAAAGAGAATTTTATCGAGAATTTATCGAAAATTTTCTATAAAAATCGGGAATTTATCAGAAATTTTCTATAAAAAGACAATTTTATCGAGAATTTATCAAAATCTTTCTGTAAAAATCGAATTTATCGAAATTTTTCTATAAAAAACGTAAATTTATCAAAAATTTTCTATAAAAATCGAGAATTTATCAAAAATTTTCTATAAAAATCGAGAATTTATCAAAAATTTTCTATAAAAAGAGAATTTTAACGAAAATTTTATATAAAAAGAAAATTGTATCGAACATTTTCTATAACAAGGGAATTTTATCAAAAATTTTTATAAAAAGAGAATTTTATCAAAAATTTTATGTAAAAAAGAAATTTATTTAAAATTTTTTATAAATTTAAAAATTATGGAAAATTTTCTGTAAAAATAGAAAATTGATCTAAATTTTATAATAAAAAGAGAAAACTTATCTAAAAATTTCTATAAAAATTTAAATTTATCGAACATTTTCTATAAAACTGGAGAATTTATCTAAAATTTTCTATAAAATTCCAAAATTTTTCGAAATATTTCTCTAAAAATCAAGAAATTTATAGAAATTTTCTACAAAAACTTAAATTAAATCGAAAAACTTTTATTAAAATTTAAAATTTGTCGAAAATTTTCTATAAAAATCGATCATTTATAGAACATTTTCTAAAAAAATTGAGAATTTATCGAAAATTTTTTATAAAAACTCAGAATTTATCGAAAATTTTTTATAAAAATTGAGAAATTATCGAAAATTTTCTATAAAAATTGAGAATTTATCGAAAATTTTCTATAAAAATTGAGAATTTATCGACAATTTTCTATAAAAATTGAGAATTTATCGAAAATTTTCTATAAAAATTGAGAATTTATCGAAAATTTTCCATAAAAATTTAGAATTTATCGACAATTTTCTATAAAAATCGAGAATTTATCGTCAAAAAAAATTTTCATAAAGAATTTATCAATAATTTTGTATAAAAATTGAGTTTTAATCAAAAGTTTTCTATATATTGAGAATTTTTCACAAATTTTCTATAAATCAAACAAAAAATGTTAAATAAATCAAGAATTTCAAAAAAATTGGAATTAAATTTTCCATTGTGCATATTTAAAACAATTCTAGCCGTTACGCAACTAAAATTACACCTCTTACAGTGTTGCTACAAATGGTTTTTAACTAGAGGAGAATTGTTCTAATAGAAAGTTCTCAATGCAAGTTGGCAATACTAATTTGTCAGGAAAAGAAAGGCAAAAGAATAATAGAAAATCATAAAAGTAACTAAAAAACAAACAAAAAAAAACGATAAAAATAACAACACAACTACATATGATTACTTTAAAATGTAATTGAAGAAAAAAAAACATAACAAAAAAATATAAATAAAATAGTATGGAATTCATGTATTATAGACGCAATTAAAATTCTAACACTGTGGAGTAAACACACTAGTGGGGGTCTAATTACAAATTAAAAAAAATAATAATTAATATAAAATAAAAGTATTATTTTCTAAAAGTCATTGTGATCAAACAGTTTTATAACTTTTAACCGGTTAATTGTTTAAATAACTATTTTTTTTGCAAATTTTATGATAAAAGCACATTTTATGATTAACATTTCCAAAAACATTGTGAAATTGTTTAGAACATTGACATTAGCAAAATAAAAAAATTGTATTTGTACGAGCAAAGAGTCAAAAATACAAATGTAAAAAGAAGTGCAGTGTTTTATACAGAAAAAAAACATTAACTTAAAATAAATAAATAATTAAGGAAATAACAATAAAAATAAAGATCATCTAAACAACAGCAGCAATGACATTGGCAACAGAGCAGGCAAATATTTGTCAAACTACTATGGACGTAGAGGTAAGCCAAAACAAAGTGTTAAGAAAAGTTAGAAATTATTTTAAAGATTTGTAAAATTTATTATTAAAATTGTTATAAAATACAACGTGTATTTAAATATTATTAAAGTTTAATCGTATTGTGTAGAATTTGTGGTTTTTATTTTAATTTATGTTGAGTAATTTTTGCAAATTTTTCTATTTACTTTTTTACATTTCTTCTGTGTTATTCTTTCTGTCAAGTCATTTCTTTAAAAAGAAATTATTATTAGATAAGATTGTTACAATTATAGTTTTTTTTTTATTAATGTTTTTATTATTATTATTGTTGTTGCTGCCTTAAGAATTTTTGTTATTTACCGGTTGAGTCGACAGATCAAAGTTCAATTCTTTGCAGACAAGTGTCATTGCGTTTTAGAATTTTTATTAAATTGTTTAAACATTTATTTGTTGTTATAAGAGTTTGTGAATGGGAGGGTAGGAGCGTGGCTTTTGGGGTGATGATTTTAACATACAAAAATAATGGTTTCGTAAACAGCTTAAAGTTTAAGATTTGTTCGCTGACCATGTTAATGTTGTTCTTAATCTAAAGGTGGCACTTTTAGAGTACCTACCTAATTTTTATAAAAATTAGAAAACTTATCGAAAATTTCCTAAAAATCGAGAATTGATCAAAAATTTTCTTTAAATAAAAAGAAAATATATTAAAAATGTTTTATAAAAAAATCTTTCAAAAATTCTATAAAAATAAATTCTATAATTTTCGATAATTTATCGAAAATTTTCTATAAAATATAAAAATCAATAATTTATAGAAAATTTTCTATAAAAATCGAGAATTTACGAAAATATTCTATAAATAGATAATTTATCAAAAATATTCTATAAATAGATTTATCGAAAAATTGCTATAAATTGAAAATTTATCGAAAGTTTTCTATTAAAATCTAGAATTTATCGAAAACTTTCTATAAATTGAGAACTTATCGAAAAATTTCTATAAAAAGATCATTTATCGAACATTTTATTTAAAAATCGATAATTATTCAAAAATTTTCTATTAATTTCTAAAATTGTCTATAAAAATTGATAAGTTATCGAAATTTTTCTATAAAATTTGAACATTTTCTAAAAATTATTGATAATTTTCTTTAAATCGAGAATACATCGAAAGTTTTCTATAAATGTAAAAAAATTATCGAAAATTTTCTATAAAAATTTAAAATTTCTCGAACATTTTCTATAAATATGAATAACATATCGAAAATTTGCTATAAAAACCGGTAATTTGTGGAAAATTTTCTATCAAAATCGAGTATTTATCGAACATTTTCCATGAAATTCGAAAATTCGCTGGCATCTGGCAACACTATGTACAGATAAACGTATAAAATTTGCCATCTTGATAAAAAAAATAAAATTTATTAAATTTACCAAATATTTCATGCTAAAAATTCACAAATCATACCAGTAAAACTAGTTACATTCGTGGTGTTAATTTTTCCTAAAAAATTCATAAAATTAACTTTTAAAAGACTAAAACAAATCATCCCATGTGCTCAGTTATTGCCTCTTTCCTTTTGTTACCGCTTAACAATAACAAAACAACATAAAAAATTTTTATACATAAAAAAATAAAAAACAATATTCTGCAAGTGCCTATTTTTTATATATTGTTGAAATTATTATAATAAAATTTATTACACGATGTCATATCTTTGTGGTGACTGTAATTTAAGTACCTCCGGATCTCGATGCCTACTTTGTAGATCCTGTGACACTTGGTATCACGCTGAATGTGAAGATATAACTAAAACATTGTTTACCACCTTGGATAAAAACCGCAATCTAGCGTATACCTGCAAAGCGTGTATGGATAACCCGCCTGATAACTCTGATGCAGCATTTAAATCGGAAATTCGAAAAGAATTTACAACTCTCAAGAATTCAATTAGTGACATGAAAGGCGATCAAATTGAAATCAAATCCAAAGTTGATTCAGTCATAAATGAAGTCCGTGCAGAGCTGTCCAACAGCTTAAAGGGTATAAAAGATGAAATTGCAAGCTGCAAAACTCAAATTAATTGTAATGACACCTTATATAAGTCTAAGTTTTATGAACTGGAACTTCAGAACCACGTTCTTCAACATCGTTTAAATAGAGCTGACCTAATTATAACTGGTCTTCCAACAGACTTAACTGACCTCCATTCAATTGTAAAAAACTTGTGCACCCATCTCGAAGTTAACATCGCTGTTGATGACATCCTTAACGTTATGTATATTAAAAAACATGGTGCTATACTTGTTAAATTTTGCCAAATAGCTAAACGCGATAAAGTTATTTCGGAATACTATAAATCGAAATCCCTCAAAGCGTCTGATGTTATAAATGGGGCTGCTGAAACCCGTGTTTATTTAAACGATAATTATTCATCCCTTGCTAAAAAATTACTAAAAATTTGTTGGAAACTGAAAAATGATAAGAAGATAAAGGGTTATAATATAATAAATCGTGAAACTCTTTTTGTGAAGATTACTATGCTTAATGAGGATGTTAAGTCTCTCAATTTTCACGAATGTATTAGCTATTTTAAACTAAATTACCAATAAGTATACCTAAACACCTATATCTTAATCTATTTACTGTATTTTTCCTTTTGTAATGTAAAATACCGTAAGCTTATATTTTTTATTTTTTATATTAAGATGGCTCTTTTCATATTGAAAATGTTTAAAATTACAAATAACTTTTTATATATCACTTTTTGGCTCCCACTAATATATGTGTATTGTCGTGAATGCGATGTCTCTTAATGGTAATCTTGGTCCTATAGCCGGGGATAAATCAATGTTAAACAAATGCCTTTCATCTTCGTCTGAAGTTATGAATATTGGTCATATTAATGCCCAGAGTCTTTGCCCCTCTGCATCCAGCACAAAATTAGATGAATTTAAATGTTTTTTCTACAATAGTCTTCTTGACATCATTGGAGTTTCAGAAACTTGGTTTAAACCTCACTTAATATCCCAATCGTTGACACTTTCCGGTTATAATCTTGTAAGAAATGATCGTATCAGGAATACTACTTCGAATAATAGTGGCCCAACCAGAGGTGGCGGCGTTTGCCTTTACATATCTAATAAACTTCGTTACCGCATACTCTTTCGTGCTGAACAATATGGAGTTTGTGAGTCTTTATTTGTCGAAGTTTTTGGAAATGGAACCTCTGTAATTGTTGGTGTTGTATATTTACCCGGCGGCGACATTAATGCATTTGAAAGTATCCATAATAACTTATTTGATCAATACAATAATATTATTGTTATGGGAGATTTTAACCATAATCTTTTTGATATTGTTAAATCACGCAATTTACGTTCTTTAATTTCTAGATGTGGCCTTCACTGTATACACAATTGCCTACCTACACATATTTTCCCACCTAATAATGCTACTTCTTTGCTAGACTACTTTCTCCTGAGTCAACCATCTTCTGTTGTTTACAAAAACCAGATACAAATTCCATTTTTTTCATCTTACCATAGTTTCATCTTTCTATGCATTAAATTTCCCTCTCAATTACGTAGTACCTGGATTGAATTTAAGGATTACAATCGCCTGAATTTTGAGAACATAAGTGAGTATTTTAGTCAATTTAATACATCTCCTATTTTCAATACTAACAATGTTGATCTTCAATTATCTACCTTAGATAGTTTAATTGAAGGACTTCATAATTTAGTACCAACGACAAAAATTTTATCTAATTCAAATAATTCTAAATGGATGAACTCGAGTGAAATTTTACAAACCAGATCAAAAAGAGATCACGCTTATCGTGCCTATCGTAGAAATCCTAATAGTGTAAATTGGTCTACTTACTGCAAATTACGTAATAAAACTAAATCTGTGATCAGAAAAGCACGTCGGAAATATGGTGAAACTTTGTTCAGTGTAACTGATAATAGTACATTATGGAATAGAATACGTAAAATGGGTATCGTTGATTCGAAAAAATCTGAATGCAATGATTTAGACGTGGAAGAAATAGCTAATGTTTTTTTGGACAATCTCAGGCAGGACAATACCGGAAACCTTGAATTTGACAACTTTGAAGACATTGCCAATTCGTTTTCTTTTATTCCTGTTACAGAATATGACATATTAATCGCTTTAAATTCAATTAAATCTAACTCTACAGGTCATGACAAAATTCCTATTAAATTTATAAAGATAATCTTTCCTCTCATTTCCCCTATACTTTTGTATCTTACAAACACTATTTTCACCTGTTCTAAGTTTCCAACCTCCTGGAAATTAGGCCGAGTCGTACCAATCCCAAAAAACGGAAAATTTGATAAAGAAAACTTACGACCCATAAGCATTTTACCTGCTATGTCCAAAATAATAGAAAATATAATGAAAAAGCAAATATTTGATTATTGTGCACAATATTCTTTAATCCACCCTAGTCAATTTGCATTCCAACGTAATCTCAACTCTACGTCTTTACTATTATCTCTCACCGAATCTATTAGAACCAAATTAGATAGCCAAAGAAATTGTACGTTAATTTCACTAGATCTCAGTAAAGCTTTTGATCGCATAAATCATGCCACTCTTGTAGATAAGCTCAGAAGATACTTTAATTTTTCAAAACCGGCATGTAAATTAATATACTCCTACCTTTCAGGACGGTCGCAGTACGTTTCCTTCAATGGTTATAACTCTAGTATTAGTAATGTAACTTCTGGCGTAGCTCAAGGGTCCGTACTGGGTCCCATATTTTTTCTCACATATTTAAATGACTGTATCTCGCTTTTTAATAACAGCTTTTGCCAATCCTTTATATTTGCTGATGATATATTTTTATTGTTTTCAGATAAGTACGACAATATGGAAAATTTTGAGATAAATTTGAATGTTCACCTTAACTCAATATCTAGTTGGATGTATACAAATAGTCTTGAGATAAATCCAACTAAGACAAAGGCCTTAAGTTTTAATTTAACTAACCGAACTTTTTCATTTCCAAGAATATCTATTAACGGACAGGCAATTTTATTTGTGGAATCTCTCAGATGCCTCGGTGTAATTATTGATTCTAAGTTAAATTTTAATGAACATATCAATTTAATTGCTAATAAAACTTGTCTTATTTTAAGAAGACTTTACTCGTTAAGAGCGTTTACTCCCAAACATGTAAGGAGCCGACTTGCCTTTTCACTTATCATGTCCCGAATTAACTATTGTCTCGAAGTTTTTTCAGCAACGTGGTCTTATAATCTTAATATTATTGAAGCAACTGTTCGAAAGGTAATTCGTTATGTATTTAATTTAAGAGCTCTAGAGCATGATCGTACTTCGATGCTCACTCCAGTATTCTTGAAATGTAGTTTTAATAATTATATTAATCTACGTATTTTACTTTATTTCTACAAGGTTATAAAATCCGGTAAACCAATATCACTTGTAAATCAATTTTCATTCATAAACTCAACACGAAATATTCAAATTTTTATTCCTCTGGGACATCTTTCTGTGTTTGATCGATCTTTTGTAAAAAGAATCCATCATACTTGGAGCTTACTACCCAACCATCTCAAACAATTTTCTTATTCTTCTCATACTTATAAGAAGAAACTCTTAGATTTTTTTAATGAAAATCAGTAGCATGATTAGACATTGTTTTTAACCTACATCAACCTTTGGTTATAGGATTATTATTATTATTTCTTGATATTTAATTTTTGACAATACATACATATATGGCTGGGGAGCCAAATCGACTTTTCTAGTATAGTTATCTGTCTCGCTCATGGTTATTTGTCACGGGCTTGTACAATAAATTTTTACTACAATATTTGTTCTACAAGCTCTGATAAATTCTTATGAATATGACAGTATATATATACCTATATATATATATATCTAATGATTACTGTATCTTATTTTGTATTTATATAAAATTAATTAATCTATTACATAGTTATTAATCTTACAATACATATTTTATTGGCCATGAAGGCTTTCTTTGTATTGATATTAATAAATAAATAAAATAAATAAAAAATAAAATTATAGAAAATTGTCTATAAAAATCGAGATTTTATAGAAAATTATCCATAAAAATTGATATTTTATGGAAAATTTTCTATAAAAACCGATAATAAATCTAAAATTTTCTATAAATATCGATAATTTATCTAAAATTTTCCATAAAAATCGAAATTTTGTCTATAAAAATCTTAAATTTTCCATAAATTATCGATAATTTTCTTTAAATCGAGGATACATCGAAAGTTTTCTATAAAAATCAATAAATTATCGAAAATTTACTATAAAAATTTTTAATTTATCGAATATTTTGTATAAAAATTACTAACATATCGAAATTTTTCCATAAAAATCCGTAATCTATCGAACATTTTCTACGAATATAGAAAAATGTCTAAAAAACGATAATTTATGGAAAATTTTCTATAAAAATCTTTAATTTATCAAACATTTTCACTAAATTTAGAATTTGATGAAATTGTTATAAAAAAGCACTGTAAAAAATTAATCGACAATCTATCGAAAAATTTCTATAAACAGAGAACTTATCGAAGCTTTTCTATAAATCTGGAGTTATCGAAAATGTATCTATTAATTGAACATTATTAAAACTGTTCACTTTATCGAAATTATATCGATAAAATAATATGTATAGTATATTGAAAAGTTCCTGAAAATCTAGGATTTATAGAAAATGTTTATAAATCGAGATTTTATCGAAAATGTTCTTTTTTTCTCATTATACTATTAAATCTCTCCATTTTACCCCCAACGTACATTCTAATTTTAATGACAGTTTCAATTTCAATTATTTTCATCCCATTAAGGACTACAAGCCCAAAGGTTTCTGGATATTTAAATGGTTATACAATTGGACTGCTAGTTCTCCCGCCATGTTAAGAGCTGTGGAAAAGAAAATTCTTTCCTTTTTGAAAACGCCCTATCGCGGGTTCTTTGTCGATATAGGACCAGCCATTGGAGAATCGGATAAAATATGGACCGTTAGTTTTAATACTGATTCAAAGGAAATACCCTTGGTAATGTTGCATGGCCTGGGCGCTGGTGTTGCCTTGTGGGTAATGAATTTTGATGCTTTGGCAAAAGATCGTCCGGTGTATGCCATCGATATTTTGGGTTTTGGTCGTAGTTCAAGACCCAAGTTTTCCAATGATGCTTTGACGTGTGAAAAACAATTTGTTAAATCCGTAGAGGAATGGAGACGTGAAATGAATATAAGTAATATGATATTGTTGGGCCATTCGATGGGTGGTTTTATAGCCTCCAGTTATGCTCTAACATATCCGGATAGAGTTAAACATTTAATACTGGCCGATCCTTGGGGTTTTCCAGAAAAACCCTCCGAAGCCTTGACCAGCAAACAAATACCCTTTTGGGTAAGAGCCATAGCTTACGCTCTCACACCACTCAATCCCTTGTGGGCTTTAAGAGCAGCGGGACCTTTTGGTCAGTGGGTGGTGCAAAAAACTAGACCAGATATAATGCGCAAATTTGCTCCTACTATAGAGGATGATATACATTTATTGCCTCAGTACATACACCAATGCAATGCTCAAAACCCCACTGGCGAATCGGCTTTCCACAGCATGATGGAAAGTTTCGGTTGGGCTAAAAATCCCATGATTCATCGTATCAAAGATGTAAGACAAGATATACCCATCACCTTCATATACGGTAGTCGTTCTTGGATTGATTCATCCTCTGGCGAGAAAATCAAATCTGTACGTGGCAATTCTATGGTAGAAATCAAAACGGTTACTGGTGCAGGTCATCATGTTTATGCCGATAAGCCGGATGTATTCAATCGTTATGTAAATGAAACCTGTGATTTGTACAAAAGAACACCACCACTGATACGTGAATCCACCGAATCGGATGAAGAACATGAAGTATCTCTACCACCATCCTCAGCAAGAGGACAACGAATAGAGGAATCTGCCGAGGCAGAATCTGAGGCTTCAACAGCTGATACAAGAAAATAATTTACGATAATCTTTAAACTTAATTACAAATTTGTTGTTATATTTTCATATCAAAAAAAATAGAGAAAGAGTTATTCAAAAGTATATAGAAATAGCTGATGTATTATTTTATTTTCTTTAGTCTAGTTTCATTTTCTTTAATTCTATTTAGTATTAATCTAATAATTAGTTTATTTTCTGAAATACGCATCGTCCGAACGATATAACTAACTAATAACTACTTTAGTAATTTTTGTTAATTTATAAAATTTTGTAAACAAAAATATTATTTTAGTTAGTAAAATATTAATAAAGAAAACAATATTTTTCTAATTTTCTTTGAAACATCTATTAATAAAAACAATAAATAGAAATCATGTGTTATTTTCCATTGAACAAAAAATGCACGAACGTAAATATTATATTGTATTTATTTTTTAATCGTACCCATTGCAATGAGCTCATAAATCAGTCTGGTTGTTCTATATTTCCAATTAGTTCAAAGTTCTGCTCTTGTTGCATTTTTTTTAATTGTTCATAATTTGATTTTGCATTTGTCATTTGCTGGGATTTTGTGTGATTTTTCTTATCATGCTAAATTTTTCCCATTGGCCGAGAAAGGTTTTAAATCAAAATTTTTAAAAAAAAACTGCCAAGTTGCAATACTTAGCACTTTTTTGAATTAAACGCTATAAGATAATTTAATCTATTTGATAAACAAATAAAAATAATCGTTATTATGGTAAACATTAAAAAAGTATGTTCAAATGAAACAAGTATGGAGACAACGTTCCTTAAATGGACTCATTCTTATAGAATTTGTTGTTGTTCCCAGTTTTTTGTGATAAAAAGTGGTTCTATGAGAATGTTATACTCATGAACTTTTAAAGCAGCCATTCTGTTCATTCCTAATTTATATCTATCTATCTATCCTATCTATCTATCTATCTATCTATCTATCTATCTATCTATCTATCTATCTATCTATCTATCTATCTATCTATCTATCTATCTATATATCTATCTATCTATATATATATCTATCTATCTATCTATCTATCTATCTATCTATCTATCTATCTATCTATCTATCTATCTATCTATCTATCTATCTATCTATCTATCTATCTATCTATCTATCTATCTATCTATCTGTCAATCTATCTGTCAATCTATCTGTCAATCTATCTATCTATCTATCTATCTATCTATCTATCTATCTATCTATCTATCTATCTATCTATCTATCTATCTATCTATCTATCTATCTATCTATCTATCTATCTATCTATCTATCTATCTATCTATCTATCTATCTATCTATCTATCTATCTATCTATCTATCTATCTATCTATCTATCTATCTATCTATCTATCTATCTATCTATCTATCTATCTATCTATCTATCTATCTATCTATCTATCTATCTATCTATCTATCTATCTATCTATCTATCTATCTATCTATCTATCTATCTATCTATATATCTATCTATCTATCATCAATCTATCTATCTATCTATCTATCTATCTATCTATCTATCTATCTATCTATCTATCTATCTATCTATCTATCTATCTATCTATCTATCTATCTATCTATCTATCTATCTATCTATCTATCTATCTATCTATCTATCTATCTATCTATCTATCTATCTATCCATCTATCTATCTATCTATCTATCTATCTATCTATCTATCTATCTATCTATCTATCTATCTATCTATCTATCTATCTATCTATCTATCTATCTATCTATCTATCTATCTATCTATCTATCTATCTATCTATCTATCTATCTATCTATCTATCTATCTATCTATCTATCTATCTATCTATCTATCTATCTATCTATCTATCTATCTATCTATCTATCTATCTATATATCTATCTATCTATCTATCTATCAATCTATCTATCTATCTATCTATCTATCTATCTATCTATCTATCTATCTATCTATCTATCTATCTATCTATCTATCTATCTATCTATCTATCTATCTATCTATCTATCTATCTATCTATCTATCTATCTATCTATCTATCTATCTATCTATCTATCTATCTATCTATCTATCTATCTATCCATCTATCTATCTATCTATCTATCTATCTATCTATCTATCTATCTATCTATCTATCTATCCATCTATCTATCTATCTATCTATCTATCTATCTATCTATCTATCTATCTATCTATCTATCTATATATCTATCTATCTACCCACCTATCCATCCTCATTGTATAATAGGACAAAAGTTCTACTTTGAATAAGCCTAAAAATATACTTACAGTTTTAAAATAACTTCAGAAAATTTAACACAGGGTTTCCCAACTAAGTAAAGAATCATGAAAATTCCCGGCTGCAATAAAATTTTAATCTAAAAATTGTTAATATTAAAAAAATACTATTTAAATGGATATTAATATTGATGAGAAGTTAATTATTTAGGAAAATATTATAAGTTTTTGGAATTGTTTCTAAAAATTAATCTCAGACGACGTGTTTAATCCTTTAAGGGACAATACATTATCAATGAAAACTAATTTAATTTGACCGGTTCATTTAGAAATACTGTTTGTTTCTTTTTTTAATTAAATGGTATTTGAATCCCTTGCCCTTAAAGGGGTTCAATATAAAAAATTCGTATCAGTCATAACAACTGGTCATTTTTATACACATGTACTTAGATGACTACACAGACACTCATTTATACTTTACAAAAAAAGTTATTCTGGGTTAATTTACATATTGAATTTAATAATAAAAAAGTTCAATGTGTTATCAGTAATATTATGGATTTTTTTTTAAGAAAAAGTTAACGGTTTAATGAAAATAATAAAAATAAATATTTGAGAATGTACTCAGATTGATGAAAAAAAAAACAAGTATTTATCAACAACTTTTTACATATACCCTACAGAATAAATGGAGTTTTGAAAAAAAACTTAGGTTCGATCACTTGGGAAACGATCAGTTAGTTCTATTATATTCTATTTAATTTTATTAATTTTAAAATGGTAGAAAGATAATAAGACTTTTATTTTAAAATTTGTGATATTTTCAACGTATTGAATCCAACAAATATAGATCGTTGATCTGAAACTGAAAGTGTTTTGAAAACTGCTCATTTTGCTAATTTATCGAATTGTATGAAATCAGTTTTACAATAATTCGAGTCTTCCAATTCCTAATATTATTTTTTTCATTAGTTGTATATGTGTAATTAATTACACATATGAATACATATTTATTGACATGTTTTAAAATAATTTCAAAAGAATCCCTTGTAGTGCACAACTTGTAATTCAACAAAAACAATGTTTTATAAACAAGTATGTGTGTGTATTACCCTCCTTGCCTTCCCGGTTTATCAAAATTTTAATTTCCATGACTCATTTTAAACATCTCATTGATTCATACTTGTTGTGGATAGTATGTAATGTGTTCGTTGCTTTATTTGACGATCAGTATATATTTATGAAGAAAAACTGAACTAGAACTGAAATTGAACTAAACTAGAATTGAACTAGAACTGAACTAGAATTAAACTAGTACTGAACTCGTACTGAACTAGAACTGAACTAGAACTGAACTAGAACTGAACTAGAACTGAACTAGAACTGAACTAGAACTGAACTAGAACTAGAACTGAACTAGAACTGAACTAGAACTGAACTAGAACTGAACTAGAACTGAACTAGAACTGAACTAGAACTGAACTAGAACTGAACTAGAACTGAACTAGAACTGATCTAGAACTGAACTGAACTAGAACTGAATTAGAACTGAACTAGAACTGAAGTAGAACTGAACTAGAAGTGAACTAGAACTGAACTAGAATAGAATTGAACTAAACTAGTACTGAACTAGAACTGAAATAGAACTGAACAAAACTCAACTAGAACTGAACTAGAACTAAACTAGAATTGAACTAGAACTGAACTAGAATTAAACTAGTACTGAACTAGAACTGAACTAGAACTGAACTAGAACTGAACTAGAACTGAACTAGAACTGAACTAGAACTGAACTAGAACTGAACTAGAACTGAACTAGAACTGAACTAGAACTGAACTAGAACTGAACTAGAACTGAACTAGAACTGAACTAGAACTGAACTAGAACTGAACTAGAACTGAACTAGAACTGAACTAGAACTGAACTAGAACTGAACTAGAACTGATCTAGAACTGAACTGAACTAGAACTGAATTAGAACTGAACTAGAACTGAACTGAACTAGAACTGAAATAGAACTGAACTAGAACTGAACTAGAACTGAACTAGAATTGAACTAGAACTGAACTAAAACTGAACTAAAACTGAACTAAAACTGAACTAAAACTGAACTAAAACTGAACTAAAACTGAACTAGAACTGAAATAGAACTGAACTAGAACTGAACTAGAACTGAACTAGAACTGAACTAGAACTGAACTAGAACTGAGCTAGAACTGAACTAGAACTGAACAAGAAAGAACTAGAACCAGAACTGAAGTAGAACCAGAAATGAACTAGAACTAAACTTGAATTGAACTGAACTAGAACTAAACTTGAATTGAACTGAACTAGAACTAAAATAGAATATAATTAGAACTGAATTATGATTAAACTAGAACTGAAAGTAAACAAATGCTTAATGATTAGAAGATTCTTTCCAAAAATATTCGAATTTCTCAACATGATTGCGATAATCATTTTGCAATAAACACTTTGCAATAATACTCAGTGCATTCCGATCGCAATGTACATATTTCTAGATTAAACATACAAAACTATCTTTTAGGTTTTAAATATTTGATTAAATTTTATTTCCATTTAATATACGTAGCTTTAATTTTAAAACACAACACACAATGAGAGAGAAAACATAAAATAATATCGAAATAAAACTGCATTTTGATTGCCCACTTTTCCATAAGCAACCAATCGTTCATATTAACATCACACTCTTAAACATAAAATTTTTATTTAGCTACAGCAAAACCAACACGATCATTGGCCATATCGAATTCAGTATAATATTTACCAATAAAAACATCACCCAAAATCCACAAAGGACCATTAGGT